CGATTTTGCGTTTAAAAGTAGCGATAAATATTTCTCTGGGATTTTTAAAAAAAAATCCCATTCTAGTAAAACCAAAATGTTGAACTGCCATGCAATGAATAACAGTCGTTCTAAACACAGCTCTCAAAATTAATTAATCCACATGGCTACTTTTAAAATCTTTCATGTCAAGTTCACACCCAACATGCACTCAAAATTAAATAGAAAAAAGCAATCCAAAAAACCAAACCAAACCAAAACATAAATTAAAAACAGTGGTGCAACCTGAACTTGGAAAGGTAGCAAGGAAAGTGGGCTAAGATCGATGGACAGTCATTTGGTAAGAGAGAAACAAGAAGATAGAACGGGTAAATTATGTGAATTTAGGGATAAAATCTCATGGGGCTACAGAAACACAGGGATTCAAAGCAAATTCGAAGAAACAAAGTATAAATTTAATGACAAAAAGTTTAGAATTATTCCAAAGTTTACTTATTGACTTCCAAACCAACCTTGCCCTGAGAGATCTTTGCTGGGCTGCCCAAGCCGACCTTTCTCTTTCTTACCAAACAGGCGCCCAAAAGATGACTTTATACTTTTCTTTTTGGGGGCTTTGTGAAGAGAATCTTGGCTGCTGTTGCTGCTACTGGGATTGCTGACTTGACCATCCTGTGACCCAGTTGAACTGTGGGTACATTTGGAATGTTAACAAGTATTTTTGAGTCAGGAAAGCAAAAGCAGAGAATTAGTGTCTACAGCATTTTGTTAATAAACAAATTCAAACAAGTACCAACATTCTCAGCCGTATCAGCATAAAAAACATAGCATCATATTTCAAGCAGCCTGGGTCCAAGAATGCCAGCCACGAGAAATCCAAAACTACTTTCAATCAAAATTAGGTTCTTTACTCAGAGAGTGGTAGGGGCGTGGAATGCATTGCCCGAGAGGGTAGTGGAGTTGGCCTCATTAGGGGCATTTAAGCGGCTATTAGATAGGCATATGGATGATAGTATAAGGTAGCGGTAGAGGTTAGATAGACCTTAGGTTTAGGGTAAAAGTTCGGCACAACATCGTGGGCCAAAGGGCCTGTACTGTGCTGTACTGTTCTACGTTCTAAAACAGACAATTCTGTATTCTTTAAAATCCAAGCGTTTCTAACATCTACTTAATGGTATTTTCATCAAAAGGGCATCACATGGAGGATATTGAAGGGTGACCTTACAGAGGTTTATAAAACCATGAGGGGCATAGATAAGGTGAATGGCAAGTGTCTTTTCTCTGAGGTGGGGAATTTCAAGACTAGGGAGCATACTTTTGCAGCGAGAGGAGAAGGATTAAAGAAAAAGACATGAAGGGCAATTCTTTTACACAGAGTGTGGTTCATGTGTGGAATGAATTTTTTTAGAGGAAGTGGTGGATATGGGCACAGTTAAAACATTTGGATAAGTATATGAATAGGAAATGTTTGGAGGGATACGGTCCAAGTGCAGGCAGATGGGACTAAATTAGTTTGGGATTACGGTCGGCATGGACTACTTAGACTGAAACATCTATTTCCATGCTCTATGACTCCATGATTCAAATCTAACCACCACCAAACACATTAAGCCTTCACTAAACAGTATGAGCATTGTAATTATGTTCAAAACAGAAATTTTTGTTCCATACATAGAGTCAAAAATTCTTCTGGTAATTCTCCAAGATAAACCACTCTTTTGGTTTCAAATAATTAATGCAATGTTAACTGGACATAATTCTGAACTGGCAAGTTTATTAAAACAAAACAATGAACTTGCTCACAATAAGCATTATTTACAACTGAACATGAACTTCTGAGTTAAAATTATCAATGTTTTAATTTCATTAGTTTTTATTGACATTCCCATGTTGTTCTAACCAATTTTCGTAATTAAATATCAATGGTGCAACATTTAAATGCGATCCATTATATGGTACAACTTCCTGGTAATATACATTTTGTGGCCCAACGTCAACATTTTATTCAAATCAGTTGGTAACAAGTGCATGTCAACCACTAATGTAAACAAAACACTCTTTGTTGCTAGTACATCACCAACAATTCAATACCCATACATGGCCACAAGTCTGCTTACAGCATTGCACTATATTTCTGTAAAATCCACCTATGAACCAAGCAGTGTAGATGGAAAAAGAATAGTAATGTTAATTATAACCATTTGAAAAATTGGTTTACCTTCTTATGTCCCGAATATCCTCCTGACTGATGGTGTGAGAGGCACCTTGGTTCACTCTGTCCAATCGAATGGACCTTGGTGTGGAGGGTGGTGATGTTTCACATTTTATTGTCGTTTTGTCTTCCCGTGTATCCTCTTTTGCTAGCTGGGATTATAGATAAGTTGCAAATGAGTAATAAGTAGTCAAAAATAAGAACCATTCATGACATATGATTTGAATTTATGAAAAAGCTGACACTATTACATAAATAAAACATCAAATCAGGTCCACATGGATTTCACAAGCACAATACAATTTACATCGACACACAATTTACAGTGGTACAGAATTACCATGGCATAGGAAGTTGTTTCAACTCTCTACAAAGGAAGAGTAAATTTTAATGAAAGTTCAAAATTCTAACTTTGGTTTTCTTTTTAGAAAACTGAATCATGCAATAACACTCTTCACATTAGATTCTTGCAAGGGAATCAATCTAAATAAAATCCCAAAAGTCAGAACATTTCACAGTGCAAAGTAAAAGCGGTTCAAAAATTAAGAAATGGAAATGAGAAAAAGCAGCACCAATTTTTCTTTGTATCATGGAACTATTGTTGAACATTCTGAAGTTCTGGAATTTATTTAGACTTTGATGAAGAATGCTACATATAGGTTAGGAGTGCAAATTTAAAAATCGGGCTATGCTTTCTTTTCACAATTTATCTTCAATTTACAACTCTGCAAGGATTCACAACTTCATTGTCAGACTGGAAGTCTTAGTTTATTATTCCCCCAGCGTGGCTTAGGCCTACAATGAACAGGATAGGGAAAATTAAATGCCATGACCTTAAATTTTATGAAGGAGAGCTCCATCACTTGGCTCCGCCATGTTCTCAGTTCTGATACAGTATCAGAACATTGAGTATGAAGTGTTCAAGGCATTTAAAAAAATCTTTTTCTGAATAAATCTAAAACTTAAATCAGTTAATAACAGTAAATTGCTTATTTTACATTAAGGGGATTTTACACAAATTTCCCTAGACTTGGATGAAGGGGAAATAAAAGGAATATATGTTAAAACCTCACTTAAACAACACTTGACAGCAAGGAAAGAAAGAAGCCACAGTACTCAGCAAAGAGATGTTACGTTTTGAAATACCAATTATGTAAAATGTCCCATAGAACAACCTAATGCCAGGTAATTGAAGTACAATTTTATACATTTACCTTCCTACGATGCTTCCTTAAATCACTAGGCTGACAGACACATGCAAAGAAAAGAGAGAGTCATTAAGAACAAAAAAAGGATTTAGAAGATTATACAAGACGTAGGTGCATCAAAAATCACAAGCAGGAGTGAAAGTGAAGACTGGGCAGATTTTCCATGAACACAGCATAAATTGCATTCATTTCAAAAGGCTGTCATTTCATTTGTTGAGATGAAATGCTTGTAATATTTGCAGATGTAGTCTTCAAAAGAAACAGATGAAACTTATTCAGTACAGAAACGAGTGACACCTGGTGTACGTTGCTTTCCATGAGTTACACTTGATGCAAAATGTAATGGTTAATATTCGGTCTTGATTCAACTACCGGCTTTGAAATCTGCAGAATATTACAGACTTCAACAAGTAACTGGCCTTGTTGTATTTGGCAGGTCTGTGCAGAAACATTATGGACTAATTTGCCCAACATGACAAATGTATACTTCTTTGTGTTGGTTTTGCCAGTGTATCAAGTAATTAAGTAGTCAACCTGTTTTGTCTTTTGACCAATAAAATTGAAAGCACACTGTCTGGTCTTGATACATTACAGTACTGTATTAATCAAATAATTTAACCTTAGCTCTGAAAATCATCCTGACACCTGTGACTCGTAACTATATAGCTGCTAAAACATCACTACCTAGTCAATTCTTGAGGTAACTTCTCACTTAAAAACAACCTTGCAGCAAAAGCTGCAAGCTCAACTTCACTTACTGAACGATGATGATACTGGATTAGTAATCCAGTGGTTCAGGCTAATGATCTGGGGACCAAGGTTCAAACCCGACCATGGCAGTTGGTGAAATGTAAAGTTCAATTTCTAACTTCTACAATAAAAAGCTGGTTTCAGTAATGACGACCAAGAAGCCATAAAAGAAACCATCATCAACTACCACAAAAATAAATCCTGGTTCGGCCCTCCAAAGTGGCCTAGCAAACCACAAAGCTCAAAGACAAACAAATGCTAAAACACTATCATAAACTGCTGGAAAAACTCAGATCTAGCAACATCTGTGGACAGAAAGCAGTGTCAACGTTTTGGGTTCAGTGACCCTTCCTCAGAAGAGATGGTGGCCTCAACAATGACACCCACATCCCATAAGAATAAAAAAAAAGCCACCCGCTACAGACTGCAGTAAAATTAAAAAAGGAGATATTTGCCATAAGCAGTCACACAAGCGGCATTACCCAAAGAATAAATATAACACTATATTTCAGTTCTGGTATTATACACGATTTTGCACAATGTACATTTTATGAGATGCTTTATGGCCAACGTATACTCAGCATGAATACTTATGGTTAGTAAGTTTGCGGATGACACCAAAATTGGAAGTGTAGTGAGAAACAAAGAAGGTTACCTCAAACCTTCACAACAGGACCTTGATCAGATGGGCCAACAGGCTGAGGAGTGGCAGATGGAGTTTAATTTAGATAAATGAGGAGCTGCATTTTGGAAAGGCAAACCAACGCTGGACATATACACTTAACGGTAAGGCCCTGGCAAATGTTGCTGAACAGAGTTCATAGTTCGTTGAAAGTGGAGTCACAGGTAGATACGATAGTGAAGGAGGCATTTGGTATGCTTGCCTTTATTGGTCAGTGCGTCGAGTATAGGAGTTGGGAGTCATGTTGCGGTTGTACAGGACATTGATTAGGCCATTTTTTGGAATAATGCATTCAATTTTGGTCTCCCTACTATAAGAAGGATGTTGTGAAACTTGAAAGGGTTCAGAAAAGATTTATAAGAATGTTGCCAGGGTTAGCGAGTTTAAGCTAAGCTCCAATGAAGAGGCAGAATAGGCTGGGGCTAATTTCCCTGGAGCGTCGGAGGCTGAGGATTGACCATATAAAAGTTCATAACATCATAAGGGATACTGATAGGGTGAATAGCCAAGTTCTTTTCCCCAGAGTAGGGGAGTCCAAAACTACAGGGCATAGGTTTAAGGTGAGGGAAAGATTTAAAATGGACCTAAGAGACAACTTTTTCCACACAGAGGGTGGTGCATGTGTGGAACAAGGTACCAGAGGAAGTGAAGGAGGCTAAAACAATTACAACATTTAAAAGGCATCTGGAGGGTATATGAATAGGAAGGGTTTACAGCAATATGGGCCAAACTCTGGCAAATGGACTAGATTTAGGATGTCTGGTTGGCATGAACGATTTGCACTGAAGGGTCTAGTTCCATGCTGTACAGTGCTATGACTCTATGAACTGACAGTGAATGGTATGAAACCAATTATCAATGTTTCAAAGGCAGAAGGATAAAACTTTGGACATGGACCCCACTTCAAGTATATAATTAAGGGTGGCACAGTGGTTAGCACTGCTGCCTCAGAGCACCAGGGACCGGGGTTTGATTTCAGCCTTGGGTGACTCTCTGTGTGGAGTTTGCATATCTGCCTGGATTTCCTCCAGGTGCTCCAGTTTCCTCCCACAGTCCAAAGATGTTAGGTGGATGGCAATACTAAATTGTCCTGGGTTAGCCATGAAAAATGTAGGGTTATGGGAATAAGGTGGGGGCTGGATCTGGGTGGAGTGCTCTTCAGAGGTTGATGCAGGCTCGATGGGCTGAATGGTCTCTTTCTATACTGTAGGGAATTTATGATTTAATTATCTGACAGCACAGTTCCTTAAGGGGAAATGTAGCATTCTGAATCGGTGGGGATGAGTAGAGTATAGCTGTTGGGTGTGATATACAATCCTTATTAAAGGTTAATACCAACATTATTCTCTGCAATAAACAACACTGCATTCGTTAATGAACGAGTCACTTAACATAACTGCAGTCACACAAGAATAATGAAAACAGCAGTGTTGCACATTATTTAAAGCTCAGCACTACTCATACATATCCCATTTTCTTGTTCTACAAACAGTAAAACATTCCAAGACCTGGAAAAGAAGTTGAGACAAAATACTAGCTGCTCAGGACACAGCCTCTTCCACAGCATGGAAACTAAACACAGATTAGGCGACTGCTTTCCAGAAGATCTCCACTCAAGTCATTTACAGACCTCTAGCTTACAGTTGCTACCATTTTGATTCTGTGCCCCACTCCCATTCAGTTTCCTATCAGTTCCAATGAAGGTCAACATAAGCTCAAGAGATCTCTTTTAATTAGGCACTTTCCAGCCTTCTTGACTAAAAGCCAAGCTCAAAAATCTCGAATTGTAACTTCTGCTACATTGTGTGTTTTTTGGATGGAAGCTGCTGGCAGTTGTTCTGCATTTTCCGTTAACATCTCCTTTGGACACACTTTTAGGAGAGAAGTTATATTCATCCCTATTCATTAGTCAGCCTGTTTACTGTACTTGTAACCAAATCACCTCAAAAGCAAGCAGTCAGTAGGGTATGGCCCAAGGAAGAACTAATTCATTTTTGGTGAAGATATACCTTCAGATCCTGAAATTCTTTTTGAAGGATCTGTAAATACTGAAAAACATGAGGAATTAATGGATTTTAAAGAACGCTCTTGATGGTTTTAGCATGTTATAGATTTTCTCATCTGTTAGTGGAATTTGCCAAAGCTGACAAAACGTGAACAATTTTCAGCATTGATTATTGGATGTAGATTAGCCTGAACTTGGCACAGACAAATGGAAATTCTTATTTAAACCATTTTTCTTTTCAGCTTTTTAGCTACAGACCATTAACCTGGAAGGGAAATGCCTTAAGGAAGAGCGTGCAATTGAAATTACACTGAGCTAACAGCTTGGCAAAGGTATGTTCTCTCCTGACTGTCCTCTTCACTTGATTGCATGTCCCATGTCCCCTGCCTTTGTCTTGCATTACGACCCCTTTTGTCATGTAATCTCTCATCTTCTAATTAATCACTCAACTTCTTTTGTCCATTTGCTCTCCTCTCCCTCGTCCCTACTCCTGTAGTTGCTTTGAACTTGTAGCTCTAACTTTTTCAAGGTTTGACGAAACATTAACTTTTCTCTTCACAGATGCTGCCAGACCGGAGAATTTTGTTTTATCTCAAATTTTTATTATCCGCGATACTTAAAGTCAAGAATGAAGTGAGGAAATAAGTGGCAGATGTGGAGAAGTGTGAGGTGAAACATTTCGGTTCAAAGAACACACACACAAAATAGGCCATTTGGCCTATAGAGTCGTTTCAACATTCAGTATGATCATGGCTGATCCTTTCCCTCAACATCATACACCTACACTCTTCCCAAAACTCCACAACACCTTTAGTTTCAAAAAATCTATTTTTTTCATATATTCAATGACTGGGACTCTATTTTCTTCTGTGGTAGAGAATTTAACGGGTTCACCACCCTCAGCCAAGAAATTTCTCAGCTCAGTCTGAAATGGCCTATTGTGTATCCTGAGACCATGATCCCTTGTTTTAGATTTCCCAGCCAGGGGAAACATCATCCCTCAATCCATCTGTTCAGCCCAGTCAGAATTTTGTATGTTTCAATGAGATCTGTTCTTGTTCTTCAAATTTCAGGGAATACAGACTCAATCTGTACCCTCCTGGGGAGGCGATGGCCTAGTGGCATTATCACTGGACTGTTAATCCAGAGACCCAGATAACATTCTGGGACCTGGGTTTGAATCCTGCCAATGCAGATGGTGGAATTTGAATTCAACAAAAATATCTGGAATTAAGAATCTCATGATGCCCATGAATCTATTGTCGGAAAAACCCATCTGGTTCACTCATGTCCTTTAGGGAAGGAAACTGCTATCCTTCCCTAGTCTGGCCGACATGCGACTCCAGACCTACAGCAATGTGGTTGACACTTAACTGTCCCCTGGGCAATAGTGATGGGCAATAAATGCTGCCTAGCCAATGACACCCTCATCTTGTTAATGAATAAAGAAAAAAAATCTGTCATACTCAAAACTGCCATCCCAGGAATCAGTCTGGTAAACCTTTGCAAGGTTCCTTTACGGCACATATATCTTTACTAAGGGAAGGATGCTGAAACTGCATACAATACGTCAGCTGTGGTCTCACCAGGTCCTTGAAAAGCTGTCTTAAGACTTCCTCATTCCTGTATTCAAACCCTCTTGCAATAAAGGCCAACATACCGTTTGTCTTCCTTACTGATTGCTGCTCTGGAGAAATGGTGCAAAATAAAAGGTACTAAAGCAGGGCATATGCATGCAAGTCTGCAAGTCTTAAAGGTGGCAGGACAGATATATGGAGAGCTGTTAATAAAACAAAGTATTCTAGGCTTCACTAACAGAATGACGTGGAGGTACCGATGTTGGACTGGGGCGGACAAGGTCAAAAACCACACGACACCAGGTTATAGTCCAACAGGTTTATTTGAAAACACAAGCTTTCAGAGTCTCTCTCCTTCTTCAGGTGCTCAAGAGAGAGAGGAAGCAAAAAGACAGAATTTATAAGTAAAAGATCAAAGGGACATACACTGATGCGAATTAAACAGATCTAAGATGCTGTTAAATCTTTAATCAGTTAGAAAGGAGATGGAGGTTTTGATTCGTTGATATGCAAATATAAATCCTTTACTTATCCCTGGGCAGAAATTCAGGAGTTTGTAGTCTGGAATGCACTACTAAGAAGTGTGCTGGAGGCAAGTTCAAGAGGTATTCAAGACAGCACTGGACCATTATTTCAAGAGAAATAATTAAATATAAATGACAAAGGCACACCATCAAGGAACATAAAACATGAGAATAAGAGCTTCTTTAAATATATTAAAAGGAAGAGGGGTGTCAAAGTGAACAAAGGCCTCTGAGAAAATGAATCTGGGGAGACAATTATGGGAACAAGGAAAAAGCAGAGGAGTTAAGCAGATATTTTGCATCAGTCTGTATGGTGGAAGATACTTCAAGCATCCTACTAATACTAATGAATAGAGGGAAGGAATTAAGGATCATTACTATCACTAGAGAATGAGTATGAGACCAACTAATGGGGCAAAAGATAGATAAGACCCCTGGCCCTGATGGATTGCATTCGAGGATCCTAAATGCAGCAGCTACAGGGATAGTGGATGCATTGGTTGTAATTTTCCAAAAACAAAAAAAATCCTTTGATTCTAGAGAAGGACCAGATGATTAGCTAACTGCTAATGCAAAACCCCTATTCAAAAACGGATATAGAAAGTGGGTAACTATTGGCTGACATGCCTAACATCTACTGGAATCAATTGTTAAGGAAGCAGTAGCAACACATTTGAAAAATCATAATCTCATTAAGCAGAATCAACATAGACATGATTTCCCCTTCATAAAGCAGACTAATTTATTAGAGATTTTCAAGGAAGTCTCAACCACTGAAAAGAAAGGAACCAGTAGATAGATGTGTTGCATTTGGACTTCCAGGAGGCATTCAACAAAGTACCTCATAAAAAGGTTAAGCCATGAGATAAGAACTGTCAGTGCTAGTAAATTGGCTTGAATACAGAATTGGTTCATGGGCAGGATGGAGCAAGTGGGGATAAGGGGTTCTTTTTCAGGATGGCAACCTGAAACCGGTAGGGTTCCACAGACATCAGTGCTGAGACTGCAACTGTTTACAATACATATTAATGACAAAGGCAGGTAGCGAATCTACTGCAGCCAAATTTGCAAATGTTATTCATAGAATCATAGGATCCTTACAGCATGGAAGCAGGCCATTTGACCCATCAAGTACACCAGCCGTCCGAAAAGCATCCCACTCAGACCCATCCCCACTACCCTGTAACCCTGCATTTCCCATGGCTAAACCACCTAGCCTGTACATCTCTGGACACTATGGGCAATTTAACATGGCTAATCCACCCAACCTGACATCTTTGGGCTGTGGGAGGAAGCTGGAGGAAACCCACAAAGACACTGGGAAAATGTGCAAACTCCACACATACAGTGGGGAATCAAATCCAGGTCCCTGGTGCTGTGTGACAGCAATGCTAACCACTGAGCCACCATACTACCTGTGATTATAAAGATAGATGGAAAAGGCAAGTTGTGAGAGGGATACAGACATCGACATGTTAAATAAGTGGGGAAAAAGATTGTAAATGAAGCAAAATATGGGAAATTGTGAAGTTATTCAATTTGGAAAGGAGAACAAAAAAAATTAAAAATGGAGAAAAATTGCAGAAAGCTGTGACACAAAGGGACCTGGGGATACTTGTGCATAAAACATAGTTAGCACACAGGTGCAGCAAGTAATCAGGGATGCTAATGGAATGTTGGCCCTTATTTCAAGTACAAGAGTATGGAGTAGGGAAGTCTTCTTGCAACTACACAAGATGCTGGGGAGACCACACCTAGGAGTAATGTGACCAGCTATGGTCCACTTATTTAAGGTAAAATATTTCAGTAGAGCAGTTCAGAGAGGTTCACTCAGATGATACCCAGTAAGGAGGAACTGTTTTATGAGTAAAGGCTAAACAGGTTAGGACTCTACTCACTGGAGTTTAGAAGAATGAGAGGAATCAGGCACTAGACAGGGCAAACGGTGAGAGGGTGTTTCTTCTCATGGCAGAGTCTAGCAAAGTGTCAGATAAAGGGAAACTAAATTAAGACTGAGATGAAGAGGAACTTTTTCACTCAGAGGTTTGAAAGTCCTTGGAACTCCTTGCCACAGACAGCTATGGAGGCAAAGTCCTTGAGTATACTTAAGGCTGAGACAGACAGATTCTTATCAGGAGGGGACTCGAGGGTTACAGGGAAAATGCATGTGAGGAATGTCCAATCAGCCAATGATCCTATCACATAACACAGCTAGCTTGAGGGGCTGAATGGCTTACTCCTGCCCCTACTTCCTATAGTCTTAGTGTGCAGGGTAATGGGGAGAAAAGCAGGAAATGGATCTATGTTAAAATGTTCAAAGCCAGTGCAGAGACAATGGGCTGAATGGCATTGCTCTGCATCATAAGAATTCTGTGATTCTGCTTAATATGAATATGGTTTCATAACAGATTTTTGTAGTAGCAGAACTCTAAAGTTAAGGTTGGTCACCAAGATTTTGGAGACTCAAAATACATTTATAGTAAATGGATCTCTCTCGTCCATCACCGATCCTTAAGTTGTTTCCAGACTTGCCAAAGAGGGAGTGCAGTGGATGTTCACCTGACTGTTTCCTGGAAGTTGAGACTGTCTTATGAGGAGAGATTGAAGACAGTGTATTTTCTACGCGATAGAAAAATGAGAAGCGATCTTAGAGAAACTAACACCGAATTTCATACATGATCTAGTCAACATTCTAAAACATGTGAACCTTGTTATCACCTCAGAACTCTCAGGGAGGCAAAAAGTTAACATTAAATTAATTATATTCAATTTTCTACTTCCATGAACTTGCAAGATATGCTTAGAAACCTGCCTAAAAATCATTAAGGAAAACTTTGAAAATTAACATTCTGATAAGTATTAATTAATAGTAGATAAACAGAGTAATTGCAAGTTAGCAAAGGGCCACAGGTAAAGATAACAACATTGTTACTGTACAACATCAAGCATTTAAACTAACCAGGGTCATGACGCCAAGCCTGTCAATCTCATGAGCAGGATTTCGAGGGGATCGTCTTGGCGTAGAGTGTCCGCTTCCAGGTGGAGAGGAACCGGCAAGAGACGAACCCGTAAACGAGGCAGGAAGTGTACCCCCTCTGTATCGGCAGAGATTCAGACCATCAAGGCTACCACTTCCAACTCGGCTCTCAATCTCTTCTGCCCTCTGCTGTGTTGACTCCTTTTCTTCTTGGATCAGCCTGTAAACAATTTGGTCAGGTGTTAAATCCCTTTGTCATTCCCTAATTCAGTATGTTAATCTTAGCACCACAGAAAACACTTGCTGCTAATACAGAACTTAAATATTGCTTTTAAAAAAAGACACAAAGTTGAAACTTTTCACTTTGTAATCATCAGGACTGAGACGCAAGAAACCAAACTTTAAAAGAGAATACTAATTTACATAGCATCTGAAGAGCTTACTTGCTTAGTTCTGATTGACATGGAGATGTACCATGATCTGTAAACTGTCAATTTTCACTATACTTAACCTCCCAGCAGGCAGGTAGAACCTGACTGGTCATGGTGTCATCGTAGGGAAATTTTGTATGGATTAAGTTTTCATAACACTTTCTCAACGAAAAGGATGCAACACATTCACAAATTTCTTTTGTCGATATAGAACAAGGTCCTGAGACTGAACAGACTCAGTTTCTAGCTTTCAAAACGAAAGGCACTGTTAAGTCTGACTACTTATATTAAATTGGTTTCTGTGTCATTATTAGCACAGTCTGAATTATTTAGTAAACAATGCCCAATAGCAGATTCACACTTAACGCTGTACATCATGTTGTGAGTTTTGCAAACTCAGACTCAATGAGCTTCATCAGCATGCTGCAGACTGTAGACAGCTGAAGGGCTGCATTGTTTGTCAGTCATTGGGATATACAACCTACGAACCTGGCATCACATTGCCACTGAAACTCTCATGCCACATTAGTTGTTTGTGCAGTACAATGAACAACTTCTTGGCTCAAAAACAGCATTCTGTTAAGGAACATACTACTCGTGTTCACTGCAATGTAGAAATGAGACACGCCTAGCTTCAGCTGCTGCTCAACATATATCCACAAACAGGGATCCTGCACTGAGTAGGCAAAAGAAATGTGTGCCCGTGTTGCATTTTTTGTAGGGTGGTTCCCTTTCAAAACTTGGATTCTTGTGCACAAACAAATGATGAAAAGCTTCAACTTTGCGTCTCTTTTCAGCAAAGCTGAAGATAAAAGAAAATAATTTAAGCATTATGAACATTTCAAATAATCAAATATACTCACCAAATGAACCAGCATGAACATCTCAATTGAGTCTTTAATTACAAGTACAATAACTTAAATATTTGATCAGTATGTCATGAGCAAAGCAATTTACAAACACAAATGTGCAGCAGGTGCTTTTTTTTAAATTCACTCATGGGACACTGGCATCATTTATTGCCTACCCCTAGTTGCCCTCAAGGTGGTGGTGAGCTGTCTTTTTGAATTACTGCAGTCTACGCGCTGTAGGTAGACCTACACTGTCAATACGGAGGGAATTCTAGGATTTTTACCTCAAGCACCTTCTGAAATACTCATTGTTGTAGATATTAACCAAAGTCATCTTTTTAACAAAACATTAGGTATAAACAAGTAAAAGATACCGTATTTCATTATTGATGGCATCCAACTGTTCTTGAAGCATCATAGCCAAAGTTTGGGCATCTGCCTGACCACTTGGTGACAGCAGATCAACAGAGCTGAATATTGTCTCTCTATCATCTTCTGCATCGGATACTTCAGCATCACTCTCAAAGGCCTGGGCTACATTTGCCAAGACACTAGCTTGCTGCGCACGCTCCCATTCTTGCTCATTCAATGTCTGGACCTGCTCAAAAAGTGCAATGCAACAGTTTCAGAAACAAGATACCAGAATATGCAAACACAAGATGTAATAGAAACAGAAGCAATCCCTAACACCTCTTGATTCTGTTCTGCCTCAATTTGGTCATAGCTGATTTATATTTTAATTCCATTCACCTGCCGTGGTCTTTACCATTTAGCACCTATTCCAAATAAAAATGTGAATATTAATTTTGAAATTTTGAGCTGCCCTCCAGCTTTCACAGCTATTTGGGAGATCTCATGAAATACAACCAACACAGGGTAAAATTATTACATTACGATATTGAAAGCAGCTGGACTTTGAACATATAATACCGTTTACAACATTATAAAACTTGTTTAAGATACATGTAGTTCCTCCCCAAAAATCCTTTATTTGCAAATTTTCACATTGACATGTTTAACGCTCTGCCTCCCACGGTGGATTTTCAATTTTTGCTTAATTTTGAAACATACTCTATTCAGCCTTCCCTCAAAAATTTTTCTTCCTGTTTGAGGTCATAAACTGTATAAAATTATTTTTCCAGGTTCTTCCTTGCCACACTGGATATGTAGTGCTTGCTGAAGCAGTTACTAGTACAGTGCAATATCAAGACTTTTTTTTTTCATTCCATGGTTAAGCCTGCAAAGATTCAGGCCTAAAATTGAGTCCAGTCATGTATTGTCTGAGTGAGCATCAAAATACCACAAATATTCAAACCAATTCCTCTCAAAACAAAAACCTCACAGTTGACAACTTCAGTTCAGCATTTTTCTGAATAGCGCAACATATTAAAAGAAAACTGAATAAAGACTATTTTTGCTTTTCTTTCCCTTCCTTTGTGACTTGACACATGCCTTGCTGATATATGAGGAAATTGATGCAATGTGCATTTCAGGACTAGGGGCATCGTCTGAGAACTAGAGCCAGATCAGTCAGGAGAGATGTTAGGAAGCACTTCTACACACAAAGGTAGTCAATGTTTGGAACACATTTCCACAAACAACAGTAGATGCTAGATCAGATGTTAGTTTTAAATCTGAGAAAGATAAACATTTGTTAAGCAAAGATATTAGGAAAATAGGCCATTGACAAATATATGGAGTTAGGCCACAGATCAGCCATGAATGGTGGAACAAGCTTGAGGGGCTGAATGGCCTACTCCTGTTCCTGTGAATGCTGAGTCTTAGAACAGGGGTTTAAAACTAACATCCACAGTCCACAAAGTGACTACTCAACCCATCAGGTCTGTATTTGAGTACATAACCTCTTTGTTAGGTGTTGTATGTTAGGCTTTATTAGAAAGGGATTCAAGTACAGCAATTTGCCATTTTACCTCAGTTCGTTTATCAGTCATTTACTGAGTTCATATTCTTGTACAGCGTTGAGAATCCTGTCAAACTTATTTGACAATGGGTTCAGCATGGAACTACATGATCAGATCAGGGTCAAACTGAAACAGCCTCTACCACGCCTAGGCCATTTCTCTTGCTGCCAATCTCTGGCTTGCAGCCTCTCTCATACCCTCTCTCTACTTCTTCCGATTCCTGAACCACACTCTCACTTTCAGAATTTACCACCTACAACTTCAAACTGTTCCTCTTGTCACTCATATCCAAAGCCATTGTTAACAATGAGTTCAGATGATGGAAGCATCAAGGGGGCAAAACAGGGAGCAAAAACTTCAGTGAAAGAACAGCAAGTCTTGTGGTTCACAATGACAGAGAATGGAAGAGGCTACAAGCTGGATGGTGACAGTAAAGGAAAGCCTGGGAGCTGGATGTTTGATTATATCCAGAAGCTTTGTGAAGGCAGGCAATGACGGGATTAGGATTAGCAACTGATCGAACATAAAAAGTTACTATATTTCTTTTATATTTTAACTTGTAAAATACATTTTATTTTATTCATCAGTAGCAAAATTTATGGAGCAAAAATATTTGAAGTTTCAGCGTACAATGACTTGACATTTTTAACTGATAAGTAAGATTCTACAGAACATGACCTCAGCTTTTACATGGGATAGGACTGTGGAGGCTGAATCACAAGGGTTATGGGGAAAAGGTAGGAAAGTGGAGTTGGGATTTTCAAATCAGCCAGGATCTCATTGATTGGCAGAACAGACTCAATGAGCTGAATGGCTTACTTCTGCTTCTACGTCTTTGGGCCTCTGTAGGAGATCAGCCATTTAGGATGGAGATGAGGGGAAATTTCTTTAAAGGGTTGTGGGTCTATGGAATTCTCTACCTTAGCTGAGGTTATTCAGTTACTGTTTACTCGAGTCAGAGATCAATAGATTGTTGGGCACTAAGGGATCTGAAGAAACAACAAAGCAAAATACTGCAGAGGCTGGAAATCAGAAATAAAGACATTGCTGGAAAAGCTCAGCAAGTCTGGGAGAGAAAAAGTGTGTTAATGTTTTGAGTTCAATGTGGATGTTCCTTAGAACCCTGTTCCTTCATTGCTCTCAGTCGTCCCTCCACAGATGCTACTGGATCTGAGTTTCACCAGCAGATTTTGGGATCTGGAGTTGGTTTGGGAAGCCAGTGTTGAGGCAGAAGATATTGAAAGGCAGAACAGGCTTGAAGGACTGAATGGCCTACTTTTCATGTTTTTACATGTCTACTATTCACAATAAGAAAGAATTGAACAATCACAAGTCATACTTTTAACAGAAAATAATTAAAATATTACAATTAGCAAATCAAAAGATCTGGAATTGAAAATTGTTGCACATAATGCAAGGCACAAAAACTTACATGCTGCAGAAATCCATCAGGATGTAGCAGGAAACAGAAAATGTTATACATCAGTTGTGTATTGCAATAAGAGAAGGAGGTAACATTATATTGCAAGCAGAGATATATTGCCTGATAAAATAAATGATGAAGAATAGATCAAGGAATAGCTGCACTGAAAATATAAATGACTATTTAGCAAGAGAGGAATAGCACAGACAACAGCAGAAGAGTTTCACAAGCACCTAATGGTCAGGTTACAATTTGCTGGTGCTACTAACAAATAATGGAGCAACAAATCACAAATGACAATGTCAGTGTTTTTGTTTCATATTAGGCATGATTACATTTAAATACAATGACAACATTGAAAAGATGAACCCAACCTTATGACTGACCATCTGTATGTCAGAAGTAATGTAACTAATGTACAGACATGAATTCCAAAATACTGCATATTATGTCTATAAATGGAATGATTTTCTGACAAAGGTATGGCTATTATGAAAGGTGTTTTGCGACCACGCAAGTTGGAGCATTTATATCATTCCTTAACTACGGAAACCAATACTGTACAGTCTATATTCTAGGTGTGAATCATAGAATCCTGACAGTGCAGAAAGAGGCCATTCGGCCCAGCGAGTCTGCACTGACTCTCTGAAGAGCATCCCACTCAGACCCAGGCCCCCACTCACACCTTGCATAGCTGAAGCATTGCCTCCCTACCTATTGTATTAAAATCTCTTACAATAAATAATGACAGCCTATTAGCTTCTCTAAATACTTGCAAACTAACTTTTTGCTATTCATGCACTAGGACAGCCAGATCCCTCTGCATCTCAAAGCTTTATAATCTCTCACCATTTAGACAAAATGTCTTTTATTCTTCCTGCAAAAATGGACAATTTCACATCTGTCCCCATGAAATTCAAACCATTGCCCATTTAATTTATCAATATCCCTTTCCAGCCTCTTCATATCCTCTTCACCACTTACTTTTTGACCTACCTTTGAACGTTAGAGTGTTAGCTATTGAAATTCTATGAAATGTCATTCTAATAACACTATTGCCTCTGGTACTGCTGTCTCAAAGCAAAGTGGAAGCTTTAAAGATGAAACTGCACCCAACAATTACTACAATGCAAAGTAATCTCAGTCAACACTCAAACTGTTCCCAAACTACATCTAAACTGGCTTTCACTATGTAGAAAAAAACAAAGTCTTTTTATTTTGAAAAAATTAGTGCTCATAAGAAAATATTTCATGATTGTTGCTGAGTTACGGACTTGCATATATTGAGTAACAATTTTCCTCCTCGTACTCCTGCCCTTGTTCTAGTTGTTAGAACTTCCATTTCACTTTTGTCCTGTTCTATTTCTGCATTTTAATCTTTATCACTTTCCTCCTCTTTAATCAAATGTTTCTTGATAACTTGAATAGAAAGGAAGAAAACCTCGAGTATGTGGGGGGTAAGAAGTACAGGACAGGGAGGTTGAGACTTCCGTTGTAGGATTTGGAAGTACATACCTGCCCGAAAAGCCAGATATGTTCACCCACAAGTTAAAGTACAAAATGATGCCTAAAAGGCAAATTACAAACCGATAAAGTAACTCTAAATTTTTCTTCAGGGGGAAACTGCTGTTCCTACCTGGTCTGGTCTGGCCTACATGTGACTCCAGACTTACAGTAATGTAGTTGACTCATAACTGCCCTCTGAAATGACAGCAAATCACAGTTCTTTCCAAGGGCAACAAATTCTGGCCCAACCACTAGTGCCCACATCCCATGAATAAAACAAAATGGTTTTTAACTGCCCAGTTTCAATGGGTCAGTAGGTTTAAAAACAACCCTCATTTATAAAGTCATGGAGTCATAAAGCATGGAAACAGACCCATCAGTCCAACTCATCTGTGCTGACCAGACATTCCAATCTGACCAATCATTCCAATCTATTCCCATTTTCCAGCATTTGGCCCATATCCCTCTAAACCCTTCCTATTCATGTACCTGAGATAACAAGGTGTAGAGCTGGATGAACACAGCAGGCCAAGCAGCATCATAGGAGCAGGAAGGCTGACGTTTCGGGCCTAGACCCTTCATCTATTCATGTACCTGTTCAGATGCCTTTTAAATGTTGTAAATTGTACCGACTGCCACCACTTCCTCTGGCACCTCATTCCATATATGCACCACCCTCTGTGTGAAAAGGTTATCCCTCAGGTCCCTTTTAAATCTTTCCTCTCTCACTTTAAACATATGCGCTCACATTTTGAACTCCTTCACCCCAGGAAAAGGACCTTGGCTATTCATCTTAGCCATGCCCCTCATGATTTTATGAACCTCTATAAGATCTCCCTTCAGTCTCTGACACTCCAGGAAAAAAAAAAAGCCCCAGCCTACTCAGCCTCTCTCCACAGCTCAAACCCTCCAACCTCGGCAACATTTTGTAAATCTTTTCACTAGCTTAAGTTTAACAACATCCCTCCTATAGAAGAATGACTAGAATTGTCTACAGTATTCCAAAAGTGGACTCACCAATGTTTTGTACAACCCAACTCCTATAGTCAATGTTATGACCAATGAAGGCAAGCGTGCCAAACACCTTCTTCACCATCCTGTCTATCTGCAACTCCACTTTCAAAGAACTCTGCACCTGAACCCCCAGGGCCCTTTTGTCGGTAACACTATCCTCACATTTTAATTTAAATTAAACTCTATCCACCTCTCCTCAGCTCATTGGCCCACTTGATCAAGGCCCCGTTGTGCACCGAGATAATCTTCTTCACTGTCCATTTTTTTTTATTCATTCATGGGGATGAGGGCAGTGCTGGCTAGGCAGCTTTATTGCCCATCCCTAACTACCCAGAGGGCAGTTGAGAGTCAACCACATTGCTGTGTGTCTGGAATCACATGTAGGCTGGACCAGATAAGGATGGCAGTTTCCTTCCCTAAAGGACATCAGTGAACGAGATGGGTTTTTCTGACAATCGACAATGGATTCACAGTCATCATTAGATTCTTAATTCCAGACATTTATTGAATTGAAATTCTACCATCTACCATGGCTGGATTCGAACCTGGGTCCCCAGAACATCATTTGCATCTCTGGATTAACAACCAGCAATAATACCACTAGGCCATCACCTCCCACGTGTACCACCTATTTTGGTGTCATCTGAAAATTTACTAACCAGATCTCCTATATTCACATCCAAATCATTTATATAAATGACCAAAAGCAGCTGACCCAGGACTGATCCCCATGGCACACCACTGGTCACTGGCCTCCAATCCAAAAAACAACCCTCCACCTCTACTCTGTCTCCTACCTTTAAGCCAATTTTGTATCCAACTGGCCAATTCCCCCTGGATCCCATGTCTAACCTTGCTAAGCAGTTTGCCATGCAGAACCTTGTCAAACACTTTGCTGAAATCTATACAGACGTCTACTGCTCTGCCTTCACTATTCATTGTCACATCTTCAAAAAAACTCAATCAAGTTAGTGAGACATGGTTTCTCATGCAAAGCCATGCTGACTATCCCTAATTAGTCCTTGCCTTTCCAAATACATGTAAATCCTGTCCCTCAGAATCCCTCTAACAACTTTACTCACCACTGACGCAAGGCTCACTGGTCTATAGTTCCTTGGCTTTTTCTTACAGCCGTTCTTAAATAATAGCACTACATCAGCCAACCTCCAGTCTACCGGCACCTTACCCATGGCTATCAATGATACAAATACCAGAGAACAAGGGGCCCAGCAATCTTTTCCCTAGCTTCCCACAAAGTTCTGGGAAACACCTGATCAGGTCCAGGGATTTATCTACATTAAGTGCTTTAAGACCTCCAGCATCATCTTTTCTGTAATATGAACCCTTTTCAAGACATCACTATTTACTTCATCAAGTTCCCACCTTCCATGTCGTTCTCCACGGTAAATACTGACGAAATTTTTTTTTATTATCTCACCCATCTTCTGTGGGGTTCCACACAGACAGCCAGGTTAATCTTTAAGGAGCCATATTTTCTCCCTTGTTACTCTTTTGCCCTCAAATGTATTTATAGAATCTCTTTGGATTCTCCTTTTTGCCAAAGCTATGTGATGCCACATTTTTACCCTCCTGATTTCTCTCTCCTACTGCCCTTATACTCTGAGGGATTCAGCCGTTCCAACCTGATACATGCCTCCTTTTTCTTGACCAGAGCCTCAATTTCTCTAGTCATCCAGCATTTCCGTTGCCTACCAGCCATGCCCTTCACACTAACAGGAACATACCGTCTGAATTCTCATTATCTCATTCTTAAAGGCCTCCTACTTCCCAACCACCCCTTGACCTGCGTGTAGCCTCCCTAAATCAACTTTGGAAAGTTATTGGATAGATTCATTGTCTTCAAAAAGTAGCTGGATAAATTGCTTCCAAACATCTGATAAAAGAAACAGTAAAAACTGGAAAATTGCAAGTATGAATGAGGAAACTGTACCTTTGAAGGTTCATCTCTTAAAGCTGCTAAGCGGCCCTTCTGAGTTCTACGTAATACTGATGCACCGCTGTATTGGTCTGGGTGTTTGTCTACCTCTGATGTAGATGCTACTGGGTACCTAAAATCAGAGGGACTACCTAAATGTGACCTGCTAGAACAAAAGAGATTCAATATTTGTTAAAGGTTTTCGGGAAAATTTAGCGATCTACGATGTCTCATATAACGGGGTTAGAACATTGACAGTAAAACTGCTTCTTCAAACCACACTTTCAGACAGAGTGTTCTTGCTGGAGGGTCAGTTTGATATGATCATTATTAAAGCCATATTAATATTACAATGCAGCTACATCAAGTATCAACAGAAGACTGCACATGGGACAGAGGTAAACTTTGGATTACTTTTCTACTAAACAAGTAGTCAGAAGATTAAAAATGATAGATTTTATGAATCTGTGCACCTTGAATTCTGGTTGTAAACCTCGAGTAAAATCTTTTGGTTTCAACACCCAAATTCCTACCATGTATTCCTGATGCAGGACCTCCAGTTACAACCAGCAATTTTCCTTTCATGAAAACATTTAAGGGTTAAATACTTGAAGAAATGCACTGCATTCATTCCAACTTTCCCTATTCTTGCATGTAAACACTTCAGCTCAAAGGTCACATAGATGCAGATGCACATACTGATGTAAAACTTATGCAGTGCAAGTCAGCATTCAACTCCAAATGCCTTCTAGGGTGAAGCAGAGTGAGATTCTCCCCCCTCCAGTGCCATGGCAGACTCAAGCTTGGGCATCAAGACTTGGATTTCAGATACTAGTAACATCTATATTATGGAGTTAGAGGAAGTGTACACCTATACAGCAAATTTGTCCCTCATTAACCCAATGGTAAACAGCAGAATTTGTTGGTTTTCTTTTTAGCAGTCTAAAGGGAACTTATAGGGAGAAAGGCTTCAAGAGGCTAGAAACTGTTCAAATTGAAGAGGTCATACTTTATTCTTGGAGCAAGATGACGAGGGAATAGGGCTCCTGATCCAGAGCTCATCCGCTCCAAATGCATTTCTTTCTTCTTTTCTTATTTTCTTCATTTTTTTCCCCCACTTACCTTCTGGAGGGAGCTTGGTCACGGAGGCAGCAGCGGCAATGGCGATGGCACCGGCTGGTGGCCCAGAGTGGGGTCTTCGGCAGTTGGCCAAGAAGTGGTTGGTGTGCCTGGGAGCACTCTAATGGTCAGCAGCATTATGGGAGCGGCTGGGGGCCTGAACCAGCACCAGGGTAGGACTCCGGCAGCCTGTGGCAAAGGGACTGGTGAGCTCGGATGGCAGCTGGCAGCGCAGAGGCACAGGGATCAAGAGATTGAGCCCAGCGCAGGGACAGATCAAGCCCTAGTGGAGGAAAGCCCAGGCCCATGGCTAAAGGAGGACTGTAATTTGGAACATAACTTTTTACTTACTACTTTATACTGAGAAGAACTGTAACTTTTAACTTATTTCTTTATTTTTCTACTTTTTACCTAAAATTTTGTACCTAGGTACGTTGTACCTAAAATGACATTGTAAACTTTTCACGGCACTCCTGTATCCCTGTACTTGAGTACACGTCAATAAAATCTAATTCTAAATTATTCTACAAACTACTCATTAGAAATCTTTACAACTGTTGCAAAATAGTTTAGAAAAATTGGAAGTATGCACACAATTTCTAAAGTCACAAGATATCATGTGGAGAAAACAAGCTTATTTGCCAATTTTCTAGCCATCAACTTAATACCAGAAAGATAAATTCATGACAGTACACCACATTTTAAATGGGAACTTTATCCAGCATCGCAAAATGATTTGTTTATAGTCAATGAAGTAAATTCAAGATTGCATTCAAAAGGATTATTCAGTGATTTATGCTGCCTTATTGGTTAGGTTGAGTCAAAAATTCTAAATTCTAGGTTATTGCCATTATTCTGATCTGAATATTGAAAACAAATGTTTCCAGTATCCTCACTTTCAAGTTTGATTCATATAATAAGCAGAAAAGTAACTGAATAGGTGCAACGTTCCCAGGACAAGCAAATTAAAAGTGGAAGAAAATGCAAGCTCCAAAGCATTTCACAAAAATTTTGGTGTATGAGGTGGTTGGGGTGGTGATGAAAGGCAGCAAAGCAGACATATCAAGGAAGAGCATTCGACTGAGTTGGACACAGATTGTAGAAGGATCTATCACCTGTACATTAGGTGGAGCTGGGAACGGGACTTGTGCCCTGTAGATGGTGGACAGGCTTTGAGGAATCAGAAGGGGAGTTATTCACTGACCTGCTGTTACATAGAACATAGACCAGTACACTACTGGAATAGACCCTTTAGCCTACCATGATGCCAATCTAAACTAATTCTACCTGCATGCACGTGGCCTGTATCCCTCTATTCTCTGCCTGTTCATATGTCTGTCTATGTGCCTCTTAAATGTTGCCATTGTATCTACTTCTACCACCTGCCCTGGCAGCATGTTCTAGGCACCTACCACCCACTGCATAAAAAAGTGCCTCGCACATCTCCTTTTAACTGAGCCCTGATGAAGAGTTGTAAACCCAAAATATGTCGACTTTTCTGCTCCTCTGATGCTTCCTGACCTGCTGCATTACTCTAGCTCCAGACTATATTAACTACTTTAAACTTTCCCCCTTTCACTTTAAACTTGTGCCAAGAGTATTTGAACTTCCACCCTCAGAAAAAAAGACTGACTACCCACCATATCCATACCTCTCAATTTTGAAAACCTTTAATCAGATCACTCCTCAGCCTCCAACACAAGGAACAACAATCCAAATTTTTCAACCTCTCCCTATAGCTAATACACTCCAATCCAGGAAGCAACCTGGTAAACTTCTTTCGCAGCTTCTTCAACACCTCCGCATTTTTCCTATAGTGTCGTGACCAGAGCCTTTTCTTTGCAGCACATAATACTCCAAATACGACCTAACTGAAGCCTTATACAACTGTAACATGACTTGCCAACTTTCATACTCAATGCCCGACCAATGATGGCAGGTATGCCACATGCCTCCTTTACCACCTTATCCACCTGTGTCGCCACTTTCAGAGAGCTATGGACCTGCACCCCAAGATCTCTCTGGATATTAATGCTCCTAAGAGTCCTGTCATTTACTGTATACTTTCCTCACTATCCACAACTCCAACTTGAGGCATAACCAATGTACGTATGTCCATTCCAGTTCAGTTTTCAGGTCAACAGTAACCCCAGAATGTTGATAGTGGTGGATTCAGCAATGGTAATACTATTGAATGTCATGGTGTGATGGTTAGATTTTCGTATTAGAGATGGTCATTGCCTGGTACTTCAGGGGCACAAATGTTGCTTTCTACTTGTCAGTTCAAGCCTTGGACAAGTCTTGTTGCATTTGGACACAAACTGCTTCAATATCGGAGAGTGGCGAATGGGCTGAACGTTATGCAATCATCAGGGAACATCCCCACTTCGGATTTTATGAAGGAGGAAGGTATTTATGATTCTTAAAAATATTTCTACTCATGAATTTCCCTGATAAATATCCAAGAAATGGATTACCTTCTCACTGCTTATGTCAAAAAGAACATGAGTTGAACTGTGAATTTAAAACCTACAGTAGAAATAATGAAGCAAAGATACAACAAAATAATCTTGTACAAACTGATTAATAGAACATTTTTGTATAATACCTGTGATGCAGAGTATCTCCGAAAGAAGCAGCTTTCGCTCTCCATTGATCATTCTCAGCTAACAATTTATTCTGAAATATTCAAATATATTTGTATGAAAGAAATGCAGTGTTGATAAATTGTAAAATATAGACAAAGCTGTGGAATTTGAGAACAATTAAATTAAGGTTTGAATAAATGTAACTAAAAACGTGACCCGACAACATGAAGTGTCTGAAAGACGATCTTAATAGTTGTTACAGTTGAATTTTGCTGTATAATTCTAAAGTTTTAAATGGGCCTGTTGATTCCTAATCAACTAGTTCAAAAGAGCAAAGATTTTCCATAGTTCCATAGAATTCCTTAGTTTTATGACATACATGCAGAAACTTAGGCAAACTTCCATTAAATAAAGGAGGAGTTTTGGTTTGAAAAGGACTACCTTCACAAATACAGTTTACATATTTTAAATTAACTGTGTTAAACATGTTGTAACTTACAGATGCAAGGAACAAATTTTAGGATGAAAGTTCTGCTGTAGTGATAAAATTTTAAATCATGAACAGTACTGTTAAGAGTACGCGAGTTTTTAATTAGCAGGACAGCTTACTTAAATTTCATACTTCAATACAATGGATAGGGAAAGAGCTGAAATGAATCTTATGGCTGCAGTACCTTTGCAAACGAAACTTACCTTTTCATGGTGCGTTTCTTCAATTAGCTGCTTGGTATTTTCAAGCTCTCGGATAAGGGAATTCTGAAACAGTATTTTACAGGACAATTTAGAACACATAATTCAACAATATTGCAGGAAATTGAAACGGCTATTGCAATTAAAAATATATAATTAAAGTTTATATAATGCCAAATACACAGCATTAGTAAGATAAGAGCGGAGGATTTTGCTCCCAGTTCTCCGTCCCCCATCTAATTTCCCAAAGTGTTCCTGTCCATCAACCAAAAGTTGGATAAGACTGAGCACCAAACTTCAGCACAGTTATTACTGGTTGCAGTAAGGTGGTCATTTGTGCCAATTTTCTTCTCTTGGCCATTAAGAACCTCTTAATGATTCATTTGATCACTATCATGTCTGTGTTCTGAAGAAGGATCACTCGACCCGAAACATTAACTCTGATTTCTCTCAGGAGATGCTGCCAGACCTGCTGAGCTTTTCCAGCAATTTCTAGTTTTGTCACAATTGTGTGGGTACTGTCCAAAGTCCTTGGCTCACAGAAGTCTTACCAGGTCTCTTCCTTTGCCAGTCTAAGTGTCCAATAATTTCCTTGTATTTTTCAAATCACCCAGCAGCAATATTCTCTCCTTCAACTTATTCCTCAAAAACCTTTCTCCATAATGTCTCTGACAAGTCTGCTTCCTCTTAAGATGTGCTTACACATACTGTCTGTTCCTACTTACATTCAGCAAATGTCTTCGTTCATTCACTCTTCATAGTACTTCATCTGTTTTTTTTTTTTCTGTCCAATTGATCCTTTCCATTCTCCTCTAAATCCACAATTGAAGGTTATTTAGCAAGTTGGTCTCCTCTTTCACTAAGGTTGAAGTTTCATATCCAAGCAAAACACTCCAAATCAGGTTCTTCACAAATTACTTCCCAAATTGTTTATTCGATTTACTGCAAAGCAACCATCTCTTCTAACCAAATGCTTACCAGCTATTCCTATAGGTTGCCTTGTTGTTTCTTCGTTGCATCTTCTACCTGCACACAATATGCTTGCTAAACATTTCAATCTTGGCATCTGTTCTAGTTGTCTTCTGTGATCATTTTCAGATAGGCATCACTTTGGCTTTGCCAATACTGTATGATAGAAATCCTAAAACATGTAATATGAACAACTAATGCATATCAAGTCTAGCTGGTTTCTGAACTGCAGCCTTCTGAATTGAGGCCAAACTTTACTGAAATCCTAGGTCACTTAGAGGATGCAATAATTTGGATTTTATAAAATAGACTACCTTTTCCTCTAATGCAGCCATTCTTTCCTTTAGATGAAGTTGAAGTCTTTCATTGGATTCTGACAGCAGTTTATCTACTGTGTCCGATAAACGCTTATTATGTTCTTCATTCATCTTTTCCCTCTGCCGAGCCTTTTAAATAGATAGACGGGCTGATTAAAAAAATTAGACACAAAGCTCAAAAACCAACTACTCAAGTGACTGACAAACACTACACAGGTTAAAAAAACCTAACCATAAATACTAAATTAAGCATGTGTTTGTGCACTAAGCACAATCACTTTATACTACCTGATGGTACTAAACACAAATGGAGTTGCGTCATATCTAAAAATTTTCCTACTAATAAACGTCTGGCACATACAGAAAAGAATCAAGTTTAGTGAAAAGCCATCAAAATATTACAAGTTTAGGATGTTTAGAAGCAATGGCCCAATGCAAAAGATCCCAGCACAGCCGTTTTCAAGCGGAATCCAAAGTTTGTGAAACTTGTCAAGTTTGATTAAAAGTTGAAATGAATCTGTTATTGAAGAGATAGTTAATCTGCATAAAAATGGTGAATAATTCCAAGCATGATGGTCAGCGCTAAGGAAACATGATAAAAGGGACAAAGGCCTTAACTTTAGTGGATGAATGACAAATATTGCCATTACAATTCCTTTCGCTGGACAGAGTCAGAGCGTTTTTTTTCTTTAATAGCAGGCCAGATTAAGTAGGTGAAATCAGGGCAGTCCTGACAACTTATAGCCAAAAGCCATTTCTAAGCCAAGGCATTGTGCTATAGACAGATTCAAAAGGCTTATTACCTCTTCTCAGTCACTGAAGTGACTGGAAGACAGGTTTGAGTTGTTGGTGGGAGTGGGGAGAGACAGCAACAGTGAGAGCGAGTAAGGGAATGCCAGTTTAGAAATTTTCTCAGTTTTACCTAGAGTATCATAAGAAAGAAGATATTTCAGATTTACATTTAAAAAAACACAGAAAAAGCTTATTTCAGATTTGGCGAAGGTTTGGAAATATGAACAGCACAAGGATGACTATGACAGAATAAAGTCACATGGTCAATACTGTGACATAACCTCCCTACTGCCACATCTTGGTTATGGGCTTAAATTAATTTGCATTCTTTGCTCCAGGTGAGAAGTAATAAATTTTACATTTTTAAAAGAAGTTGAAAGTTTGTAGTCTATGTTGTGATATCTATTAAGATACAACAGAATCCATACACCATAGCACAAACTGCACAAGGTTCAGCATTTGGAGTTTTAGAAGATTTATAATTTTAGTTTCTATAAATCATAATATGGAAACCCCAATCAACATACTCGTTGTAATTCTTGATTCTTTTCTTCAAGCTGTGCCTCCAACTGTCGTAACCTTTCTTCAATATTTCCATGCCTTTCTTCAGCCTGATAAATAAATAAAAACTGTTAAATATTGCAAAGATTGAGCTTTCAAACAAAGATCTTCATGAAAATTGCAAGTCTTCCAAGAAGCTCAGATCCACTTAATCAGTGTTGTACTTCAGCCATTGGTCTCACAAAAGCCTGGTGTAAGCGGCATTTTAATGACAGATAGTGATAGATGCTGAATGGTGCTTTAAATTGCCGTATGCACACTTGAAGCTTTAATGTTCAGCAAGCCCAGCCTCTGGGATCAAGGCTTCAATTGCCACTGTTTGCAGAAGGCAATACGTAGCAAGCATAGCAGAGTGACTGGAACATTGCATATTCTACCTTCCTAAGCATGGAGCTCAGTTCCATCAGTTTAGCTTCCATAACAGTAGAATCTTCAGAAGAAAGGGAAGGATCAGACTAAGAAAGGCAAAAAGGTACAGGAAACAGCAGAAAGGTTACTATTGTTTAAGACTACAATATAAAAAGGGAAAACTGATGCAGTTGAGAACCGATTTAAAACAGATACAATTAGTTTATCCATAAATGCCTTGTTTTTTGATATGGAATACTACTTGGCACAAGTGCATATTTATCAAGAGAAAGAATACAAGGAGATAATCTTAAGATTACAAAAAGACTTTTTAAATAAGATTCTGTTTAGACAACCGTGTTTACACATCAAAGCAACTTCTGAATTTAAAAAGGCTTTGTTGAACAGTATACAAAAAACTAAACAAAAATCAATATGGTTAACTCAAAACATTCAAAACTAATTTTATATAATATAATACTGCAATGATTTAAATAACAAACAAAAACTTTTAACTCAATACAGAAGGCAATCTTGCTCAATTATGTTTTACACATGTACAGATCTTCCACGCTCCACCAAGTCAGTCCAAACTTCAAGCATCAAATGGATGCAGGAAATATCCCTTTTTCCAAGAATTAAAGCCTTACATAGTACAAACTTAGTCTTTAGGCCTTATCTAAATGCTAGATGGATTGCAACAGTTCAAAAACAGGTGGAGGTGATAGTCGAGTGGTACTACCACTAGACTATTAGTCCAGAGACTCAAATAATGTTTCCGGAATTGGGTTTGAATCATGGGTGGAATCTGAATTCCATAAAAATCTGGAATTAAGAATCTAGCGATGATCATGGAACCAGTGTCGCTTGTCAGGAAAAAAACCCATCTGGTTCACTAATGCCCTTTAGGGAAGGAAACTGCTATCCTCACATGGTCTGACCTGCATGTGACTCCAGACCCACAGTAATATGGATGACTCTCAACTGCCTTCTGGCTGATTATGGATGGACAATGAATGCTGACCTAGCCAGTGACATCCACATCCTCTGCATAAATTAAAAAAACACCTTCTTGAGAGCAATTAAAGATTGTCAGTGACATCATCATTTATTTTGGTCGTGCAGATTTAATGGGCCAAATGGCTTCTTTTTTACTGTGACTATGACACCACATCCCACAAAATAATTTTGAAAAACTTGCTGTTAGTTGCGAGCACCTGTTGTGCTTACACAAGCAGCTCACTTGTCTGAAGAATAGAAGTTCAGCGCTTAGAAAAGTTGGAGGGCCAGGTGAAGAGTGAACAATAATCAGAACTGAGCAAAGATCACTCAACCCGAAACGTTAACTCTGCTTTCTCTCCAAAGATGCTGCCAGACCTGCTGAGCTTTTCCAGCAATGTGTGTTTTGGTCCTAATCTCAACACCTGTTCTGCTTGGAGCAGTCTAGTTCCTCAGAGATTTTCAAAATAAATATTAGGTCCCATGGAAATGCCAAAAAGAAATGCCAATCCAGCCCCAGATGCCCAAAAGTAACCGTTCCCAATTTCATGCACGGCAATGGTCTTCCAATTTGGTTCTCCTTGCATTTACTTTGTACGTCAACACTAAAATCTATATCTATCATGCTCTTGTGGCCTTTGTTTCCATTCTGGACAAGAATCCAACTTTGATCATTTCCCTCCTTGCTGTGAACATTGTTTGGTTAATTGAACTGGTTACTGCCCTGATCAGTCAGCCTCCCTCACTGGCTGCAAATGAATTATCCTGTCATAATAACCTTCTATATTTAGACGAGTGTCTATTTGACTTACATTATCTCAAACTGAAGATAAAGCACTTTCCCATACCTTTCTGAATTAAACACTTGGTCTGAACTCTAATCTTCATCCCTCATGAAATAAAACATATATTTTTTTAAATACAGGACAATAAAAGCCTTGCATAGCTCAATAGTTAGAAACTCATGTCAATTTATAGATATAGATTTTTGTTATGATATCTGGCGTCCATAGGAATCAGCTGACAGGACTTGTATGTTTTAAGCTTTCCTACATACAGTAGTTTGGTAGTGTATTAAAATAGTTAAGGTTCTTACTTTTCAAACATATATCATGATTGCTTTATTTTGGACAACAAATGCTGGCCTAGAATGAATAAATCAGAATACAACATTTGACAGAAACAAAGAATAAAATTCATTTTGCTCTCCCAGAGCTGTGGTAGGCAAAGTATCATCATTGACTGAGACATTCCAGTAACTGACCCATAAAACTGCATTCGAAAGGCAACTGAAATTTGAAACAGAGTTTCAAGTGAACAGTTTTGAGACGGACCATTATTAGTTCAGGATTGACAATTGGGAAAGGAAAATGGGAAAATATACTATTGGGTCCAGACATGTAATTCCCTAAATTTATCTGTTTTCCTTTCATTATATTGTTCTGCATCTTGAAAAGTCAATCACCCTAAAGTCACTTCTGCACAAGTATAGTATCAAACAGTGACTCAGTTTAAGTGCTACATAAATGAACGTTATTAATGTAGGGTTTTTTCTATCTTCATTTTGGGAAGGACAGGTAGTGATGTTAATGGTGGCTAGTTCTCAAAAGCACTGCAAAGTAGTCCAGGAGCATAGATGTTTCTGCACTGACTTGGATTGAACGTGGACACAGACAGCAGAATGATAGCTCCAATAATCAAGTTCAACACAACACTGTAGAAAGAGGATTTGATATTGAGGCATTAAACAGCTAAAATCTTTTACTTAGCGTATTTGAGTCTCAGTTCCCAACAACAGTATTTTGAAAGGTGAAGGCAGACGCCTTAAAAAAGGCTAGATAACAAGGTGTAGAGCTGGATGAACACAGCAGGCCAAGCAGCATCAGAGGAGCAGCAAAGCTGACGTTTCGGGCCTAGACCCTTCTTCAGAAA